GCCCGCGCTTGATGGCGACGGCCCCAGGCCGAGGTGCTGTCCCCACTTGAGCCCCTGCAGCTGGCTCCCGCCCTCTCCTCCCGCCGACGATTTATTACCGCCCTGCGTGCCGACGTACGACGTGATGGCGGCCGCCAGCGCCGTTTGAAAACCCGGATCCGACGTGATCACCTTCGCTATCGTGTCGGTGAGCACGCCCGCCGGTGCGCTCCCGCTCGCAGTAGCTACCGCCGCCGCCTTCTGCTGCGGCTGGTAGAGCACGGGGACTTCCCCGCCTTGTTGCCTTCTGTTGATGCTGCTCAGTGCAGCGCCACCGTTGAACAACGACGCAGCTGGTGATCCGTAGCTCAGGTACCCGGCACCACCGGCCGCCGGCCATGCAGCGCCGGACAGCGCGCCGGCCCGGAGTTGGAGAAGGAGAAGCTCGTGGGATGATGGTACCTAGCGCCGGCGTGAACCAAGCCATTCGATGAGATCCTGTTTCCCAGAGAGAATGCCTGCGAGGTGGCCGCCGGCGAGGTGAGGTCGAGCGTGATGGTCGGGTAGGACAGCGTGGAGGTGATGGACGCGGCGCCGCCGGTCGGGAGGAAGAAATGTTTGGAGGCGTCGTGCGCCGCCGAAGGGAAGCCGAAGCTGAGGCCGGCGGCGGCCGGCGAGGCGGCGGGGAAGCGGAGGGAGGTGGAGGAGTCCGAGGTGAGCATGGACGCCGCGGCGGAGGTGGTGGAGGCCATGGCGGTGGCGGATGCGGAGAGCGGGTGGTTGTGCGTGCCCTCGTACGTGGTTATCAGGATCGACATGTCGTCCGCGCACCTCTGCACCTGCAAATGTTACATGCACGTTGTGTCATGCTCATCAGCTCATGCATGAAAATTCGTGGTGACTTGCTTGCAGGAAATTAGTGAGTCCACAACCAAGCAGCATTTGCTAGTTTCCTAGTAGTACAATAAACAATCAAAATAAAGCAGCATATCACTCTCCCGGGCCCTGATCGAATACCATGTGCACATGCACTTATTGGGTCCTCAAGAACTATGCCAGTTCACTAGTGATCTTTTTGTGACTATCAGCCTGCTCGCTTGTGCTACTTCAACAGCTTTATAGCTGTTATCCTTCAGTCCTGGACAGTAGCCGTAGATGTGGTTGCTGCAGCAGCCATACAAGTTGAGCTTTAAATTCTAAATTTGTATTATGGCTTATATTAGAAAATTATTTTCAGGATTATTTGTGGTTATCTTTCATATTTTTGTATCTTGACTCTCGAAGATCCAACACATTAGGGGTGTGTTTGGTTCACACCATGGTCTAAGGGTGCTCACCCAGACAAGTTGATCCAACCGTTAGGCACTGGAAATCGAGACCAGAAGCTGACTAACCCAGGCACTTTTGCTAGGGTTAGAAGCAAATAGACCTTAGATGCTCGGAACCATGAAAACAATCATGAAAAGGATCTACTACGTATATTTCTATAGAGGTTAGGTCGGTGACACTCAAGCATTTAAAGGCCCCTACACCAAATTTTAAGTATTTGACATTAGATCCAACATTTCTCCTCAGTTCGTCCTTCTTTCTTATCTGTGCCAATGGATGATTACCACTTTTTTCAACGGCCCTTGCTATCCACCCACTCGCTAATTTTTTGAATTGTAGTGGCCACTCACCTCCACCCCATCCAACCAGGCTCATCTACCTCCTGCGGCCCACCCTTCCATGACACCTCCACCACTTTTCCTCTAGGCCTATGAGGGCACACAAGTACTCCCAAACTCTAACCTCGCCGGAGGCGAAAAGAAGCTCTCATGATGAGGTGTAGAGAGAAGCAAAGTTCATATACGAGGAAAAAAAACTTGGATCTGAATGTGTGATATAAAATTCATCTTTTTGTAGCATAGCTTATAGTATATATTGGCCATCACCTAAAAAGATTATATTAACTAAAAACACAACTATACATGGAATGAGACAATATATTCTTATTGGTGTGGTAGAATTCAATCAATTTAAAGATAACTTAGAGTAACTCCAACGTATATTCTTTCCCCTTTACTAAACTTCTTTGTAGGAGAATCCCCACTTATAGGAGATACGAGGAATGTGTACTGCAGCATATTTGAAAAAACATCTCTCCTTTTACCTCTCCTGACACTTGGACCCACATGTCAATTGGCAAAATATTAATTCTCCTCTTTTCTTCTCCTGTGCCTCTCTTCTATCCTGTGTAACTCTCATCGCTACCAGGTCCTCTCTCCTTGACGCCGCTCCCGCCACTATTGGGCGTTTCCACCACCGAGACCTCCCATCGCCACTACCAGCCGCTCCCACAACCTCATCTGCCGTCCCTACCAAGGGAGAGAGAAGGGCATGTGAGGCTACAAGACCGACCGCCATGGGAGAGATGAGAAGAAGCTAAGGCAGCGATAGTGGGAGACAAGGTTGACCGGTTACTTTCCTTCCCTTTCATCTCAAGCCAGCGGTGTGGTTTGCTCGTGGTGACCTCGACTTAGAGTGCTGATGCACCCTGCTCACGGCATGGCCAGCTCGGTTAGCGGCGTGTCCTGTCAGCACCGACGAGAACCAAGGCAACGGGCACTAGGCACAGGTAGAGAATGAAAGGAAAGAGGATTGAATCGCTCTCCCTTTTCTTTGAGGGATTGAGGGGGTGGTTTTCTCGATTGATAAAAAAATAGGAAAAGGGATTTGCTAGAGCTTGTCTTTTGCATTTGATCCTCTTTTATCACCTGTTATAGGGAAAAGGGATCACTTAGGGCCTATTGGACACGACTTTGGCTCTAGTAGTTGCTTTTGCGGAGGAACCATGCCAAACATTAGGTGGAGGAACCGTTTTCTATTGAATAGTAGAGGAGTCAAAGCCGTTTTTTGGTCTAGAGGAGGAGCCTATGTTTGTGTCTCCTCCTCGAGTACTTTGGTTCCACTTGAGGAAGGAGCCATACCAAACAAGACTTGATCCTCAATGTGATAGTGATACTCTTTTATAGAGTTTTTTGGTGGGGGGGTGGTGTGTGGGGGGACTCTTTTATAGAGAGTTAAATTTGAAATTTGTATGAACTACAGCTAAGTGGTTGGGGCCGAGGCCCATGGGAGAAGAAATGGGACTTCATGTTTTTTTTTTAAAAAAAAAAGAGAAACTACTATGGAACCCGGCCTCTCTGGCCTGAATAGGCTGCGAACTAGTCCAACTCTCTCCGAACACTGGCTTCCCAAGGCCCATTTCTCTTCAAATTCAACTGGCCGTCGGCCGTCGCCATGGACGCATGGGGGGACCAGCAGGTCCAGTAAGCAAGCGCGCGAACCGGAAGCCCGGCGACGCCGGGAGCGCCCCAGGCGCGGGCGCACTCCTCCTCGGGGGCTCGGGGAGTCGTGGTTCCGCCTCCGCCGCGAACGGAGAGGAGTGGGAAGCGGGCGCCTCGGGCTGCGCGTCGCCTTCCCTAGCGCTCCCTCGCCGTCCAATCTATCGTGCATTCGTGCTTCTGACAAGTGGCTTCTGACCTTAATTTCGATCCGTGATGAGCGCCAGTGCGAATGTACGAGTCCTTGGTTCACGAGTTCGATTAGATGCGTGTTTTTTGTTTGAATTCTGTGTGGCGTGGTGGTTCTGAATTCTGATCAATTTATGGGTGAGCTAAGACCTAATGTTCAATTTAGCTCGTCTATTGCCAACTGGTAGTAGTGGTACTGGTAGATTAGTAGAATCCGTAGAGTAAACAGCTGGGGCTTCGGAAGCGGTTGGATCACTTCATTCGGGTTTCAGGGCTCTAATAATAAGTGACAGCATTTGTTTATTAGTTTACACATTGGTCCATGTCAAGTTGTCAACCAATCACTTGCGATTTCAATGCCTCGTAGACCGCAAGCAATGATTGTACAAACTAAGCAGACTTCGGGCCATCCATTTAGCCTGTTCGGCAGGACTGAAAAATACTGTTCTAATAGGACGTGAATAGTAATTTTGTGAGGTGGCGGGTCAGCCGGTAATCAGCCAGCCAGCCAGCTGAATACAGCCATTGACTCCAAACCCACGTTCTCTAGATACTTTTTTTAGAGAATTATGGACCTAGATTCAGTACCCGGTTATCCACCCCTAACTTCCCCAAGTCAATCTCTAGCAACTATGGCTTTGTTTAGTTCCTCTCCCAAAAGTTTACACCGTATCCCATCGAATATCTAGACACATGTATGGAGTATTAAATATAGACTAAAAAAATAACTAATTGCACATATTGCGATTACTCTGCGAGACGAATCTTTTAAGCCTAATTAGTCCATGATTTGACAATAAAATACTACAGTAACACATGTGCTAATGACGAATTAATTAGGCTTAATAAATTCGTCTCGCGGTTTACTGACGGATTCTGTAATTTATTTTTTTATTAGTATCCGAACACCCCATGCGACACCCCCATGTGACACCCGATGTGACACCCCAAAACTTTACAACCTGGAACTAAACAAGACCTATATTATGTGCATCTTAAATAAAGTCCCTTCTGTTTTCAACTGATTGAATAAATAAATTATAGCCGTGTAAAGGTGACTTGGGTTTAGTACGTTCGGGTTTTCCATGTTCAGAGACAGTAGCATTTTACTCCCCTTTGAACTGAACATGTGTAGTTTCAAATATGTGAATTGAGCAGTATTGTTTGATGTAAACCATGCATTATGTACCTGTTTTCTGACGGGGCATCCTGCTGCCACTGTACACCGGTAGTAGGCACGGGGGCACCGGTTCCCCTTGGCTATCTTCTGCCCATACTTCCTCCATTGGCATCCATCATTCATCTGATCAATAATCCAAAGCATATTTGCATGTTCTGTTATCTGATCTCCGTGTATCATTAGCTACTCCAATATATACTACATATGAGGTAAGCATTACATCTCTCTCAAATGGAATATTATGTCTACGTACCGTTGGTGCATCACACCTTGCCCTTACAGACACCCTTGCCTTCTTGGCCTGTGGCAGTGGACCTATGTCATCCTCAGGCTCCGTGCCGACGTTCCTCGTTCTTCTGCGTTTTGCTTGGCAGCCACTGCTGATCTGCTGCCTCCATGGCATCGTTCTTGGCATCCTCGGAGCTAACTTCAGGGCTCAAGGTCATCACATCGGGCTGGATCTTTGCAATGCTATTAGTTGCACTATCTTTGCAGGCTGACAGTCCAAGTGACAGGCCTTCTTCTTTAATACTCATGAAGTCTTCTCTCCCATTTCCTTCTGCAGCACTATTCTTCTCTTCCTTCCTGTGCGTGCTTGTGCTCGTGCCGAGGCTCAGTGAGACGAATTCAGGCTCCTCGATGCCGGTGGGCATGATGGTCGAGGGGTCAGCAAGCTTCTTGGCTTTTCCTTTTTGAAGAACGTCATGGAAGTGTAATTGAAGAGATCGGTAGTCCTCTACGATGCGTGACAACATTGTTTTTAACCTCTTGTTCTCTTCTCTTACCTCACCCATCTCTGCCCTTGTGGACGCAAGTTTATCTTTATCAACCTGAAGACACAAATGCACAACTATGAGATCTGTAGCCATTCCTTAACCAAGTCACATATGATAATAATGGACTTGTCTTTGTATAAACCTCGGAAGATTATTGATATAATCAGAATGCATCCTGACCTTGTTATGATTAGTTGAAGTTTGATTTGGTGCTTCGTCCATTTCAGATCTTTCCCTTAGGCTTGGGGAGCTTGCCTAGTAAGGCACAAAAAACGCCTGATCAGAATACTGCAGTAGATAATAAGAAAAGGTAAAACTGCACACAGAACTCATGAAGAAACTATGTTTTCTCTTCTCATGAAAATTCCAGGGGGGGAAAAACTTCAGGATAAGGTTATGTGTATAACTTAGTAATTTTCAAAAGAAAGGAAAGTTATGTGTATAACTTGCTTGTATAACTTAAATATATAACTTGATAAATGACTTAGATGTAAAGTTGGACGTATAAGTTATATTCAAAAACTTAGACTTATAAATTAATATTATAATATATTAGCAGAAATATCAAACTGTGTACAAAATAACTTGTATAAAAAAATAAATAGGTAAAAGAAAAAAATAGAAAATAAAAAAAGAAAGATTGACGCACCTGCAGTTAGTAGTAGTCTAAAGAGACATGCGTACATGTATGCATGGTGGTTACAGTTTCATTTGTTTACGGCCAATCCACGCCATGCAATGCAGCCACAATAGCACGGCATACGGTGAAGACGTGGGGCTAGTTCGGTTGGATCGTTCGCTGGAACAGAAACTAGTGAATGACCGCGGGAATGGAACTGGGCGTCCCCACCCACCCCCGTAGTATTATGTGTCCACGAGGTTTTCACCTGGATCCCAAAATATTTTAATTTTATGCTATTTTATTTAAAATGGGTTTTCCAAGGCCTCCAATTCCGCATGTGGAAAAATCCACTTATTTCCACAGGTGTTAAGTTACAGGCGATGAGTTAAATGCCTATACAAAGTTGTTACCAACTGCTTGTTCAAATCTTTTTTATTTTAGACTGTCCATCTATCCTAAAATATTAGGATTCCTATGTGTGGAGTTTATATATCCTAAGTCAAACTATCTAAAGATTGACTAAGTTTAAAGACAAGAGTATTAGCATTTGTTACATCAAAGAAGTAAAGTATGAAAACACATATAGTTAATAATGGATCTAACGGTGCTTATTTTATATTATAAATATCGTTGTTCCATGCTGCAATCGTGGTCAGAATTACAATAGTTTGACTTAGGGACTATTTGGTTGCTGGCCTTAACTCGCCACGCCTCAGCTTCGACGGGCAAAGAAAAAGGAGGAAGCTGTTTGGTTGGTAGTTAAGCTCCCTTTGGCACGGCTCATCCAAAACGGCTTTACCGGTGAAGCCAAAACCGGTGAAGCCAGAAAAACTAGCTTTTTCCGGCTTCTAGTTCATTTTAACCCCGGCTTACAAAACGGTTTCACGCTAAGTGTCTCGATTTGCGCAAAATAGATGAAGCCGAAGCCGGCATAAGCCGTGCCAAAGAGGCCCTTAATGTTAGGCACGCCACTGGCTTTTCAGTTTATTGCAGCAGTTTTTCACACCACAACTGTGGCAGTGTTTTTGCATGCCACACTCTGTAGCGCCGCCACAACCATGGCGTGGCAGGCTGGCAGCATTTGGCCAAAATCCAAACAGCCCATTAGAACAGAAACTAAGAAAATTTATATTTTGAGATGGAGGAAATGTAATTGTTATTTCATAAACCATCAAAAACATCTTCTATTAATTCGTTCCTGATTATTTTTTTGAATACGTCCATACTTCCTACCATATCCTCATGCAAAAATTTGATGAACTGTGGCATGCCCTTCTCTGCTAGGTTCTCCTTGGTCCTCAGGAGTTCGTGAAGGAAGTTTCTGGTTCCTACGGCAACCCTTTCGATCCTTCAGTTATATTGATAACATCACTTAATATTGTGACTACCATTACTACCTACTCATTTGGAATACCAAGGGGCGGTACTTTCAGTATCCCGGTGCAAAATAGTGGTCAAATTGTTGGTTTCTTTGGGCGGTCAAGCTCACTTCTGGATGCTATTGGCGTCTATATCCGCCCCTGAAGAATGAATCAAGCCTCATGCACGTCGTCGCTTCAAGTTATCCACAGTTGCACTTAAGTGTTGTTGAAATAAGATCATTCAATACTGCACATGGTCGTCGTCAGTGCAGTATTTGCTTGTTCCCGTGTTTGTATTTGTATTACATGGTCGTGTCATCAGTGCAGTATTTGCTTGTTCCTATGTTTGTATTTGTGTATTACTAGCGCAATGCACATACGTTACCACGGTTATTAGGGTAACCCCCTATCGTTTGGTACAGAACTATGTGATGATATTGCATATTTGCATGTTGTAAATTCCTCGAGGACTTCTGTAAATTCATCGAGGACTTCTGTTAGAAAAGGGAGGCATCTGAAAAAATCATTTCTGTACTAATGTCTGTGAAGCCCTTTAACTAATGTGAGCTTAAAAGCTGTTGGAGGTGGTTGCTGGCGCCGTGCACTTGCTAGTGGCCCTGAACACGGCTATTGTTGTGTTAATCATAATTTCTCTAAAAATTCGGGATAGCTAAATTTCCTTGTTTGTCGAAGAGTTTTTTGGCTCCCGTGTCTCATCCATCCCCTGTGGTCGCCTGTTCGGTTTTTCGTAAAATCATACCCGATGAGCCTTATTTTATTGAGAATCTCTAGAAGGATATTCTCATATTGTGAGTGAGGGTGTGTTTGGTAAGCTAATTAAAGGGATATTCTCACATGTGTTAGCACCAAATCCATCCAAGAATTCAAACACAACTAACCATGACTAGCGGAATTTCCATAAAAAAAATCTAGTACTCATGAAGAAAAAAAATAATTAGGAGGGGAATCAAATCAACATGAATTTGCCAAACTCTCGAGGAATTGGATTTAATATTGAATCACAAATACAGAAGAGTCTTGGTTAGAATACCCGCTCTTATGCTCACTCTCTTGTGGAGACGAAGTGAGAGCTCACACCTCTCTTTTTTCCTATGTCGTTCTCTCACATGAAACACTCTCCAGCCTAGATTCAAGGAAATTAGGTTAGGTTCCAAGTTGTTGGCCAACTACTACCAAACATCTCCATTATTTAGGGTGGTTGGACATTTCCAAAAATGTCCCTGCTATGTAGTACATCCTTGCAGGATAAACTATCTACAATCTTACTCTTGCATTGAACAGATCTAACACCTTTGTCACATTTTCTTGCCTCAAACAAGTTTTGTGATGGTGCCAACTTTGCGCACTTCTTGAAACATTGTTGCAACTCGCTTAGCCTCTAAGTGAGCTTCTTGATGTTGACATGTGACCTGCCTCATCCTTAGTCCAAGCAGCCGTCAAGATCTTTGCCCTTCAACTACTAGGTTGCCTCCTAATGACTTTTAACGCGACGACCACCATGAGTTGGTCAGCACCATCTTGCACCGTTCATGTGAGCGATGGAGATGGCACATGGCTTCGCTAGGACTTGCGTGGTTCATGAGGCATAAGTTTATACTCACCTTCACCACTATTTATCCATTGGCACAAGCCTTTGCTTGTCCTTCGCCACCTTGTCATTGATCGCAATGTCCCATCCATGACCTATAGATCTTTAGACAACAAACAAGATTCTCTGCATCCTCAACTCAACTTCATCACTACCTCTTGTTAGCTATAAAAATAAATGTGCTATGCGAAACCAAAAGTTCAAACCACTTCACACAAGATAGAACAAAGTGCTTTTCCTCTTGGTTCCTCATGCTACATTCATGCTCCTAGAACCCCCTCCACCAAAAAACCTTTCATGGCACCGTATGGAAGAGTTATTCCCCTTTTTTCTCTACCACTCCTAACCACTACTGCAATGATACCTCAACACCATCTTAGCCGAGACAATGGCCCGATCACCATTGCCGACTATATCAGATTACCGCCTTTGGCTACTCACCCTCACCATTAGACACTGCGATTATCCATGCTCCTATAATCTTGGAACCTCTATATCTAAACCCTAAATTACTACCAAGGAAGGTTCAATAGGACAAAAAAAAAACACTAACATGATTCTCTTGAGATACCCTATAGTGTACATGTGAAAGAAAATCAAAAGTAATAAATAAATTATTTGCTTTATTGACATGCCACTTGTGTCCTAGTGTTGAAATATCTCGTGGTGGAAACTAGGGGTTTACTCAGCAGATTTCAAAGTGAGGCCTCTACCTTTGTGTTGCCTTCTCATGCTTCATGTTGTCTGTCTGGTGTATGTGGGTTGTGCGTGTCATGGATTTTGTTTAGGTGTGTTGGTGCTACTTCTATGTTGGACCCAATGACATAATGGCTTGGCCAGGGTTTACCATAGGAACTCAGAGTTGCTTGGTCCCTATAGGGACGTAGCTCAGCGATGACGATGCATTATGTGCTCCCTCGTACAGATTGTTACTATATATATGTTGGTGGGTTAGTCGTGCATATTTAGTTTTTTAATTGGTTTTTCTTTAATTAACCATCAATTGTACGGTTTTGAAGCAAGTTTCCCTCATAAACCTTTGTCACTATATGTTGGTGGGTTAGCCATCCATGATTGATTTTTTAATTAGTTTTCCTTTATTTAATTAACCTAGAGTTGTATGATTTTCAAGCAAGTTTCCCTCATAAATCTGGTTTCTTCTATAGCAAAATGCAGGAACTCCCTGTTAAAAAAAAGAATTCCATTAAACATCGACACATGTTATGCGCCTAAATATATATACTCACTCTTTTTAGAAAATAATTACTAGTGCTTTAACAAAAACCAAACTAAACTTTTAAAACTTTTGTCCGGTAATAATACTTTTCAAACTTTATTTAAAAGTACAAAAATCATCAGAGTCAAATATTTATAAAATATAAAAATAATTGCAAAACAGTTCTTGTGAACTCACTGCATGTTTCAAAGCATGGAGCAGTGACTTCTACACTTTTGGTGTCCCAGATAGAATAGACAAATATAGCGAAATACAAAGAGCACGTGTGAGGAAATCAAAAGATGAGTAAATTGTTTGCTTTATTGGAATGCCACATTCGTGCAGTGTAGCGGAAGTAGCTAGCGGGTGTACAAAATGGTCTGGCTGGAGACCTGGAGTCGAGTAGCACCTGCCAAAATTCGTGCAAAATGTCAGAGGACTGATGACGCAAGATGAATTGTGTGCCTGATTAGTTGGTTATCAATTTTTGCCCAATCAAAACTATGGCAAGCTAAAACTTAGGCTTATCAAAATCAAGGCTATCAAAATTAGGGCAAAAAACATAGATGTGCATTTGGTTGATAGCCAAAATCAAGGCTTGCCAAATTTCTCTTTTATGTAGTTTTAGAACTTTCTAGAGACTTGACAAAACTTTGACCATAAATATTGGTGTGTTAATTTTTTGGCAATGAACCAATTGATGACTACAAAATTTGACATGCCATGATTTTGGCGGGGCAAGAATTGAAAGCCAACCAATCAGGCCCTGCATCCGTACGTGTGCGTTAACTAAAGTGTGTCGTTCACTAAAGTCTGTCAACAAAGCTAAAATGGGTAAAACTGAGGAGGATGAGTGGATTACAGCACAAGGATAGAAGAAGCAGAGAAGAGACAGAGACCTGGCGAGGAGGTTGAAGAAAACGAAAGCAGAGTGGCCGGTCGGTCACAGCAGGAACCTCCCTAACTGGGAGACGGAGGACGGAGACAGCAGATCGCTGTCTAGTTACGTACGCCGGCGCTAGGAGAGGCGGACTTTGGCCGTCTTTCTCCGGCGGCGCAGCCGGCGACCATCCCATCGCCGTCGGCGACCAGCGGCAAGGCGAGGTAAGTACTCTACGTCTCCTGCCATGTTTTTCCTTGTCTCTACTCTTTTCGTCAGTAGCTTGAACTTTTTCCCGCCCCGCATAGCCTCTTCTCTCTTGTTCTGTTCCTGGTCCTGGGCTCTGATCGCGAGATCTTCATCTCTGCTCCCCTAGTTTCCCGCTTATGGCCTTCGTTTCATCTCTGCTTGTTCCCCTTTCTCCTTGTGGCCTCGATTCGATTATTCAAAGCTTAAAGGGCATCCACCATTGTCCATTGGTACTCTTTTAGATTCCTGGAAGCTGCTTCCTATGCTGCCTCTTTTCATGAGCATGGACCATCCTCTCCCAATCGAACCAAATCTCCATTTTTAACAAGATAAGATAGATTTCCTAAAAAAAAAACACCCTAGGAAGCTTCTCCAGCATACTTTGACCCTTTTTACAGTGGCATCTGATGCTGCGATTTCATTAACTCGCAGGTAACCGTGCGTGGAATTCACCGTCACGGCGTCACGAGTGATGTGGCGCTCCTACACGACAGGTAGTAGTTTTTGTCTGTATGTTTCTTCTCCGACAATCCTTTTCCGGATTACTATATAGCTGATTCCAGAATCTTCGGCGTGTTTCCTGAAAACACAAGAACGGTTGAACGAAGGAACTGTTTCAGTTGTTCTTGTTCACTTCTTGCTCTCTCTCCATTCTTCGCCGAGGCGTCTCTATATATACCGATGCATGCGTTGGGAACAATTCGAGGATGTAAACGCGAGCCGCGCGAGTGCCAGAAAACTGATACATGGACTTCCACCGCCACGGCTTACTGACCAAGCTCGGGTTCGCCGCGCTGACGGGCAACTCGGCGCTCGCCATCTACCGGTCGCGCGACGACCCGCGCGCCGTCGCGTTCGTGGCCGGCGCCTACGGAGGCATCGCGCTGCTCTTCCACTTCCTGCGCAGGTTCGAGCGAGGGGAAGGGGACGGCGGCAGGACCAGGGCGGCGGTCTGGGTGCTCACCACGCTGCTCACGGCCATGTTCGCATCACGCGTCGCCCCGCTGATGCCGCCGACCGTCGGCTTGTTCGTCTACCTGATGGCGGCTGGGACCGCCGGCACCGGATTCTGGGCCTTGTTTCTCCATCGTCATTGACATGCAGATTTCGTTCTCTTTGAGCAGAACAATGGGCGGTCTTGTTTCTTTTTTTGAACGAACGACGGTCTTGTTTCTCCATCGATCTGCACATTTCCAGAGTACTAATTCGTTGTTCCCGTACAAAAATGAATTTTTGCGTGGAATCAAGAAGCAGATAACATTGCTTGTGGAATTGTAGATATATTAATTTATTACTGTGCGCGCACTTCCCCGAGACATCCAGATGATGCTGGAGTGTGGCGAGTGGCGTACTGGGGCATCTACTGTGCACAGAATTCTCTTTACATGTGTTACCTTAGTTTTTCTTTTCAGATGTTTGTCAGGCAAGAATCTTTATGTATTTCTTCCGAAAATGAACTTGGACCTGTAAAATGCACTTGGACTATTTGTTAAATTAAGTGCTTGTCTTATGTAATAAGAGGGAGAACAAGTATTGCCGACTACTCCGACAACGCTGCTACTTCTGCGGCTGCACACCTCCATGTGCCAGACGCCTCCCACGTGTGTTACCCAATGCTGGCGGAGCTCGCCGTCTCACTCGTCATGAGCCGACCAGCAGGGGCGACTGCCACTCAAGCTCGCCTACGCTATCGCCTGTGTGGGGGCAGGTCACGCCGCCGCAAGGGGGGCAGTCTAGTTGCTGCCTCTTTCTATGGGTTCTCTCCTAATCGAATCGAATCAAATCTCCCTCATTAGCAAGAAGCATATCTCCAGCATAGGTTGATGCGCATTTCGACACCTTTTTACAGGGTATGTGATGTGATGATGCGAATTCAGCCCAGGCCACCGGCGAATTCCAAAACCGACCTTGTCTCTTGGTGGAAATTAGCTGTTGTTGATGGTTTATTTCGGCAGAGGAATTCGCTTCGACATTATCGACCTCAGACCGCAGCCGCCAGCAGCGCTCGCGTGCACTCTCCATGCATGTCTCCAGCTCCGGTGACCGAGCCATGGCCTCACCGTCACGGGTGACACACGACAGGTAAGTGGTGACGTCAGGCACAGGATAATTTACCTCGCTTGACAACGTCGCTGACCTTTTGTCTGCATGTTTCTTCTAGAAAGATCCCTCGAACTCCCTCTAATTCACCAACTCCCGTTTTGGATTATTATACTTATGTTCCAGAACCTTCGAGGGGCGCTAGAAGACAGGAGAAATCTCAAGAGTTTTTGTACGTTCTCGGCGTCGACCATAAATAGGAATACAGGGAAAACATTTGGGCACAGCTCCACGATGTGTTGCACGCCACGTGACACAACGTCAGAAAGCGATACATGGACTTCCACCGCCACGGCTTACTGACCACGCTGGGCTTCGCCGCGCTGACGGGCAACTCCGCGCTCGCCAACTACCGGTTGCGGGACGACCCGCGCGCCGTCGCGTTCGCGCTGCTCTTCCACTTCCTGCGCAAGTTCGAGCGCGGGGAAGGGGACGGGGGCAGGACCAGGGCGGCGGTCTGGCTGCTCACGGCCATTTTCGCCGCCAGGGTCGCCCCGATGATGCCGCCGGCCGACGGTGCCTTGGTGTACCTGACGGCGGCCGGGACCACCGGCGCTGGATTCTGGGCCTTGTTTCTCCATAGCCATTGACACGTGCGCACTTCCTCGAGTTCGAGACATACAGAATTACAGATGATGCCGGATTGTGGCGTACTGGGCATCTACTGCCACTGTACCACAGCCAATCTGTAGCGACTCCAAATCGTCGCAGGAAGTGGCATCGCTATAAGTCTATAGCAACCAACAGGGTTTATAGCGGCTGATAGTTGGACACTAATATTTATAGCGACCGATGACGTGTTACATGTTTTAGCGACCAATGGTTTGAGGATACCAAACTTTTTAGCAACCAATAATCAGTCACTATGAACTGACACCATTATATAATTAATTTCACATTATACCATATAATTTTAGGCTTGTTTAACATCCATACAAGTTCACAGTACACATCAACCACAAAATTGTATCTCATATATTCATTGAAATCAACTTGTACAATTGTAGTTTGAATAAATTCTACAACAAGGCACCTACCACACAGGCACACAACCCATGAACTTCTAAAGAGTTCACTATACAGAAGACCAAGCCTACCCTAGCAGTCCAAAAACTATGGCTATAAACACATCTGAGCGCTCCACACCTTTTAGCCCATCTTCCATGAGAACTCTAAATAGCTTGTCGACACCATCAATAAGGATGAAAACGGTCGGAAACGGTATTACAATATAGAAAAAGGAAGCGGTCGGTTCAGGATATTTCTACATTTTAGCAATTAAAGAGTACAAAAAATGGTTGAAAATGGTTGTGAAACCAATTGAAAATGACAAATTTTTATGTTTGGCAAAATTCGGAAATGGTATCATAATATAGAAAACAGTATCATAATATAAAAAACGAAAGCGGTCGGTTCGGAATATTTCCGTACCATTTTCATCCTTAACCATCAAGCATGCTGCTAACTCGCACCTCTGAGAACTACATGCCTGAAATCCACATGCAATCCAATATAAGTATTCTGGTATTCAACTAGGATCCAATAAGTAGACAGGTGCAGGTGCAGTAAAATAGATCAGTCCTATGGCTGTACGTCTAAATCTGACAAGAAATGTAAACGTAAGATGACAACCTTTCCACATAATTTTATAGCAGACAAATAAAGTCTATATATGCAGACAACATGATTTGCAGGCTTGATTCAATTAGAAAAAAGAATATGTAGTGCTGGCAAGTGGAACTAGAACCCTTCAAAGTACCATCAGAAATTTAGAATGCAAATAACCAATATTATAACTGTGATGTGAATACCTAGAAGTTTTAGCAACAGTGCCCAATATCATGCGTTCAGATAAAAGTGAGGCAAAATAAAGAGTAGTCAACATGTCCTGGACTTTTTGCTCACAGTTTATAATAGATGAAATGAAAGTGTATTCACGTGAATGAATGTCTAACTGGTTCGAGTGCTGTAGTAAGATCATATATGGGACATGAGTACCATCTGGGTTGTTCTTTCTGAAGCATCATGTGCAGTGATCTCAAGTGGCAATACTTTACAAGTGTTTTTACTGGCTTAACAATGGCATCATCTACAATGGCAATACTTTGTAAGTGTTTTTACTGGCTTAACAATGGCGTCATGAGGTTGGTCATGATTCTGACACAATAAAAAGATGTTGTAAGATTTCTGGGAATATTTGATTCTAGAGACGACATGAGCATGTCCATACATTCATTGACTAATGGTAGAACAGCTTCTAGAAACTTAGAACTTGCCTCAGAGAAAATGAATTGGCTAGGAGATAGAAGCATCATAAGAACTGATCTCAAAGCCAGCTCTTGCTCCTCTTTAAACAATTTCATGGGGCTGTTTTTCAGTGTTAAATCCATTGCTATTGAGCTGCACAACGAAGCATGAGGTAGAGAAAATTAGATCTGAACTATTATCATGACAACACTGGCAGTCTTTCCTGAAAGTAGCAGTAGAAATTTAATGATCTGGCAGTTCCAAAGTGAGAATATGCACGAACTCTCTGAAAACACATTATGCACAGCACTAACACATCGAACGGATCTTGAGAGTTAAAAAGAAAGAAATATATTGAGCTGAATTCGATAATATGCCCAAGCCTCTGTTATACTAGTGCTAAACAATTCTTTTTCACACAGCTGGGAGCAAATATTATCACAAGCAGCTAAGGAACGCTCTATGTATTCCTTGATTGTATTTAAGTGTACGTGAAATTCTAATACTATGGTTGCTGAGAAGCACAATTACTTTATTGCTCTACAGAAAATATCTATTGCACACAATCATTCAATGGTTAATGCAAAGCAATAGTACTACTGTTACTGTGTAGTAAAATTTCTGAGGTAATGAATTTTTTTTGCTAATTGCTGTGTTACCTATAAGTGGATATCTAACAGACTAATATAGAATACATCACCATGATTGCTAGGAAGTGGTTAGTTTCTAGCTGTAAATAAAATGTGTTCAGAACAGCCAATTCCAGATACAACATGATAAACACAAACCCCAACTTCAGCTTGGATAGGTTCAAACAAAAAACAACATACGTTTGGCACTGTCAAACAGATAAATTACCTTCAAAGGTTTTTTTAACCCATTAATAGCTTGAAAATCAACTTTAAGATGCCCAGGAACCAAAGGACCAAAACCACGAGTTGTATCCTTGTCACAGCTCATGGCAATGACATCAAGAGTTCGACCATGGAAATACCACATGAAGAGAAGCAAAGCCTGCAAAGCAGCAAACATTTTGGCAAATGAGTGAATTTCCTGCTTCTGAAGATCTGAAATTTACGATTAATATTACGCACACCAAACTTGCATTCTTGGCATACACATGGAGACCAAAGGACGCACTGTCTACCTCATGGGCATTCGTCATACACATGGAGACCAAGGTACGTTTTTTCATCTATTCTTATAACCAACTGATTTTTCATCTATGTTAGTTCGGCAGCAGTAAGTACTAGTATGTATCTCTGCAGCGAGGACGGCAGCTCTGCAGTCACAAGTCAAGATAGACTAACAATTCAAAAATCAACATGGGACTTAAGAAAGTTAAGAAAAGGATCAGGGATGACAGGTTGTTTCTCTAGAACATAGCATTGGAGGCTCATCCAACTCAAATCCACATATTGCTAAGCAGATCGGGAGAAGTTAAATAAGTCAAAAGGGAGAAGGAGGCTCACAAGGGATCTGACATCTTCACCAAAATCGCTGTAAAATTTGACACCAACATCCTGTGTACAAGGTATGAGCAAATCACAAAACTGCAGAAGTCAGAATTAGAAAAAATCCTGAGCACCAAGTTAGTAGCGGCAACAAAACAGTGTTGCCGACAGAAGGGAGGAAATGGGGCCTGCGACTTGTAGGTCTTAATCTCATAAATCCCCATCCTGCTCGACCTCATCCTATCCCGAGGAATCGATTTCAATCTCCCCGATCTAGAGCAAGACAGATCCCATAAATCCCCATCCCGATCGACCTCATCCTATCCTGAGGAATCGATTTTAATCTCCTTGATCTAGAGCTAGACAGGTGGGATGGGGGAATAAATATCGGGCTTCCGAAGGAAGATGAAAGGATCGAAGAATCAGACCTCTTGCCTATATTAACGCAGGTATCACGGACTCCGATGGGTTTGTGCGTCCAAGCTCGCGCGGCATCGTCGGAGGGGTGCTGCGGGCGCTTGCGCGGCCCCATCTGAGAGGGCACGCGGGATAGGCCAGCGGCGCGCCGCACCGAGCGGCGGAGCTTGAGCGGAGGTATGGGGCAGAGGCGGCGAGAGAATGGATGGGCGGGCTCGCACGATTGTCCGCTGTTGGGCGGCGGCGGCTGGAAAGGGATGAGGTATAGGGTTTCGCAAAGGAAGAATGACAAGTGGGCCACCAAATTACTTTGTGCGCCATTATGGGCTGGGCCGAGCGCGCTAAAATAAAAACAAACTATACTGACGGATCGTTCGACCCTAATACGTGTTTTTAGCGACCGATTATCCGAGCACACAGCTAAATGTATAGACCGACCGATGTAGAGTCGGTACAAGAAAAAATAGCAACCGATGATCTATTAGCAATTTATAGCGACCAATTGTTGATCGTTAATATTCTGTTTTAGCGACCGTTGTCCGACGCTAATTGTTGGTTGTGATATAGTGTCCGCACATTCATACACGACACTGGACATGACTACAGGAATAGCGAAAAATTCTCCTTAGAAGTGTTAGGGTTTTTTTTCAGATGTTCGTTAGACAAGAAATTTTATGTGTTCCTTCCGAAAATGAACTTAACCAGTAAAGTGCACGTGGACTATTTGTCTAAGTGCTTGTTGTGTGTACTAAGAAGGAGAACAAGTATCTGTTGATAATTATACCTTTGCACATCGTATATCATGATTCACGACGATGCTATTTCCTAATATTTGAACATTTTTTGTGGTCGGTTGTCAAGTCAGCTCTGTCACCGTAGTATTGTTTTTTCTGTGCGGCAATGGGAGCTACATGGCTCGAGGTCGTACGCGGTCTAGATACGCAGCAGAGGGAGCTGGTCGAGGCCGATTAGACATTTGTTCTTTGCTCGAGAAACCCACGGACGCCTTCCTAGAAGACCCATTAGAGAGACGCATGGTGATGATGTTATAGGATCGGCAAAGACACCTAGAACGCCAATAAACCTCTTCGAGAGAAACGTCGAACAGCAAGGGATTGGAAGAGTTAAATGTAGAAGATTGGTTTTTGATCGATTGTGTAGTTGGATACCTCAATCGGACGTGATCCTCCAATATATAGAGAGAGAGGATGGTCTTAACCCAGTGAAAAAACATTCTGAGACATTAATTTGCAAGTTTGCCATGAAATCCAAGAAGATTGGATCGGATCTAGGACAACTAGATTCGGACAAGGTACGTCATCTGAAGTTCCAATGCACAACTCCCATGTCAGAAGTTCCGATGTCCAACTCCCAAGACTAGGGAGCCTCACCGGTCAAAACTTCCGATACCTATATGACCCCATCAATAATTAAATGCAACGTAGCTCAACAAATTCCCAAGTCCAAATTCAACATTCCCTAATCCTTTTTTGTTGTCAACATATGCCCCACTGTTTTGAAAGCGAAGCATATGCAATTTTAAAAAACACATGACAGCAAAGCAACGATTTTAAGCCAATGGTTTAGTTGTAACTACGGTACATGCATGAGCCATTTTGTTCCAACTATGTATGATGTGTCTGATAAAAACATATGATAAACAACAACGATGTTCCAACCCATCGGCCATTTTACCAATGAGGATGCTGCCATCTCCCACCGGACCTCCACCAAGTTTTGTAGATTTATGTGTTGCAGATGGGCGATAAGCCAAGTAGCCAACATGGAGGTGGAGGTGGTGTCAAATCGTCAAGGAGGACCCCACCCATTAATTTTTGCTATGATTTTCGTTGTATTGTTGTCGATAGATTTGAAATCGGTAACTTCGGTTAATAACTTAAACCAAACTAAAACAACCGAAGACCCAAGGGCTCGGTCTCTGTGACTGTCTTCCTCGGTGAGGAACGCTCACCCCAACCTATGCGTACCGCGGACAGTAGGGTTACTGACTGCACTTCGCCATCGCCACTTCCTCTTTTTGGGTCACCTCCCTCTCCTTATTTTTTTTCTCGATCAGGCATTGTGCATGTATTTCATTACGGTAATGCTGCATATAGGGTGTCCGTTCGTCTAGACGGTGTCAATGGTGAGCCGCGACGCAGCCTAACAACCGCAACTTATCCCCGCTCATCCAACCGTTCTAAAAAAAAGAAAAAACTCACATCATCGCAGCGCCGCGATAGCTCTCCACTACGGTGCTCCGCCATGCTGCCTCGATGACGGCGCTCTCCACCGCGCTTCCCTCTCCACCACGCCTCCCTCTCCATCGCGCCTCCACTCCACGCCAAAGCACGGCAGCCGTCTTCCTCCCTCTCCACTGCACCTCTCGCCCACCACGGGCTTCTCCAACGCACGGACCCGTCGTAGCCTTCTCCACGGGACCTGTCGTGGCCTTGTCCACCGGAGCAGTGAGCTTACACCGGTAAACTCCACATGTCGACGAGCCTCCACTCCCAAGCAGCAAGGAGATGTTGTGCTGAAAGCGCATGTTGCAAACGTATGTTTCGGGTGTTTCAGAGGTATGTTGCAAATGTTTCGTATGGATGTTGCAAAAGTAAATCGGGATGTTGCATATGCTGCAAATGTTTCTGTGGGGGGTCTAACCCTAGGTACCCACAGCGTTGGACATGGGCCGCACCATCAAGGACGGTCCAGCCTACAAGACGAAGCCTTACGGCGCATGGCACTGCTTGGCGTACGCTTCAAGGTAGCTCAGCGACATCCTGGAGATCGCGTAGAATCTGTTAGGATATGTTGAATGTGTGATTCTATGTATAGATTATCTCTTACCCGATCGGACTCTGACCTGATCGGCATGTAACCCTACCTCCGGCTATATAAGGCGGGTAGGGGACCCCCTCAAAACACACGCAATCATATATGATAGCCAATACAAACCGACGAGACACAGAATTAGGGTATTACGTCAAGCTAGCGGCCTGAATCTGTATAAATCTTGTGTCTTGTCACAATCTCGCTCCTGATCTCGCTCACCTCTCCGATCAATCTACCATCGCGGGTAGCCCCCTCATTGGACTGCCGAGCATCTTTTGTTGACAGTTGGCACACCAAGTAAGGAGTGCGCGCTGTTCGTATCGCGAACCAGATGGGATCTCAAGATCAAACACCCGTGGGAAGTCGGCAGATCGCTATGACGAGCTTCGACAACCTGAGCATCGGCGCACCTCGCTGCGACTCCATGACGAGATCTCACGGCGATAGTCTACGGCGGCTTGCGACCTCACGCGTCTCCGCGTGTCTCGTGGGTGGCCGATTCGCAATCGCTACACTGATCGACCGAGTTGCACGCGGCGGTTAGCGGCGGGTGTCAAGACCGAATCGGCAAGTGCCAGCCGATTTCCTGGTACGGCTCAGCGTTACGCCCATACAGTCACCAGCAACGCCGCGACTGCCGTCATCCTTCACAACAACGCCCTGGCACGATTGAAGCCGTTGCCGGCGGCGTACGGCCGCGACTCCGAGTCGGCAAGCAAGGCCACGTTCGATCTACTAACAAGTAAGCAAATTATGCGTGGTCTACATCACCATGACGTGAAGATGATGATGCAAGCAAGCAAGGCCAAGGCGTATATGGGTATATGCATGTGCAAACCACGTCCGACTACCAGACCTGCTAACTCTTCCTAGACGATTGATTTCGACTCCAACTCGGACACGTCGGGGGCTTCAGCTTCCGCGATACTTGCCTCTGTTACGACAAGAGTCCGACGTCTCCACGACATGATCCAATCTGATCGCCAGGCATGCAAGCAATCAAGAGTTGCATGTATTGATGCATATACGTTGCATGTACTCAGCGTCAAGGCCATGGATTTATCTACTCCAGCGGCGACTACGAAGACGACGCACGCATAACATCGTGACACGCCAACTACTCTGGTTCGGCCGTCTATCAAAGCGCCATGCCACATCGCTTCTCCGACCAGATCGAATGCGGCTACGTCAACGATCTCCCTGATTTTGATCTGCCTAAGGCCGATCAGTAATATAAGGGCGACGTCGCCCGGATTACTCTCTCCGACCGCCTGCCGCGTCGTAATGATGATCGCCGCGAAGAACGGCACTACGACGACCGCGACCGCCACCATGACGACAGGTCGAAAAGCTCGAGGGCCGGGCAATTTTGTCGACGCCAACCAGATAACGTCATACGCCGCTGACCAGACTAAAGCTAAGTCATCCTTCCTATATGTGCATTTAATACAGCTTTCTCCTCGCCATATTTCTCCAATTATTATTTCTCCGATCGTTCTCCACAATTAATTTCTCTATGATACTCTACTTATTTCTCTATGCTTAAGATACTCCGCCAATTCTCCATGCGTAATATCTTAAAGATATTCTCCACTCGATTCGTCGACCAGCCACGTTCTTACTCGTGGCATCCAGAAACGACCATGACCTCGACTTTGCTCCTACACGTGCACGAGCCACGCTCTGCGTTATGGACTGTCAGTAGCGGCTCCTTGGCGACGCTCTCTCTTACGCGTACACGGGTGCCGGCAACTCCGCGCTATAGAGTTTAGGCTAGTCAGGGCTGGTGGCGCGATATAGAACCAACTGGAAGGGAATTACTCATATTTAAAATATGAACAAACTCCAAACAAACATAATGTTTATCTACAACGGGTCGCCGAGCTGCATATGCTATTTCTTCACTGCTGATTTTTCTCCGGAGTTTATATATTTTTACATCATATATTATCCATCCTACATATTTGTATTGCAGGGCCCAGTTTATTCAACGAGCTTATTTTTTACGCTCGGGGACTGGATCACCCGGGAAGGACAAGAGGATCATCGTCCGGGTGGTCGCACCACCTGGCAGTCCGACTTCTCCGCCGATCAACAGGTCGGACCGCTAGGTTTATGGACTTCGTCGCCGACCAGTTGGTCGGACTGTTCGGCGCTCACTTCTACTCGGTGCTTACTTCGCCGCCGACCAGTTGGTTGGGCTGCTCGGTGCTCGCTTCTTCGCCGACCAGCTGGTCGGATTGTTCGTCATTTGGGCTTCATCGTTAGCTACGTTGGGGG